TGTTATGAATCGAACCTGCTTGGCCACGCCAAGCCTGTTACGTTCAAGGTAGTTCCTTAACGGGGAGGTAGAGGCCGTTGTGTCATAGGTGTTTGGTATTGAGAACCCATAGGGGTCCGACTATAACCTAAGTTGACCACGAGGTCCTATCTGATGTTGGCTAAAGGAGTGTCCTTATATAGTCCTCGTTGCTCTGCTGGCTCCGCTGGCTCAGCCTGCTCCGTTCCTGATCGCACTGATCATACTAATCCAGGGGATCCTTCCCCGGGTCACGTGACGTAGCCTCGTTCTCCATCGGCTAACTTCCTTTCCTTGGTACAGGTGCCTTGACTCCCTTGGCGACCTTTCAAGTGACCTGGTTCGTAACACTATCTCCCCTCTTCTTGTGCGTTGTCCGCAACGTACTTAAAGTAAGTCGCGCCCACTTCCTTTGTTGTGATACTCATCTTTCTTTCCCCCATGGCTGACAATGTCGACTAGTCCTCCTCTCAAAGATTCGCACCGAGTTTCCTCCACTCTTCGCCGCAAAGCCCTCGCTGCGGCTATCGAACTCGAAAGTCCCTTTGCCATGGTTGCCTGTTCCAACTGCGCTCGCTCCGGCGATACCTGCTACTTTGGAGAGCGTTCCAAAAAATGTTCCTGTTGCATTCGTAAGAATGCTGACTGCGACGGCTCCTTCGCCCTTGAAGAATTCCGGCGCGTCGCCGACGAGAAGAAAGTTCTTCAAGAAAAATCTCGTCGGAAACGGAAAGAGATCGCCCGTCTCCGTCGTGCGCTGGCCGATGCTGAGTCCGAAGACAACAGCATCCAGGATTCCGTCTCCCAGCTGGAGACTATTTCTTCCAATATGTTGCGTCGTGAGATGCGCGCCCTGGGCGTGCTCGAGGAGCAGCCCCCTGAGTCCTCCGGCGCCTTTGCCGATCCCGAGCTTCCCTGGATGGAAGTTCCCATTACTGATTCCGTGGATTGGGAATTGGTGTTTCCCGCCTCCTCCGGCGACGACGGTGTAGAGCCTTCTTCGGCTTCCTGGTATGTCCTTCGTATTCCTCATTTTGTGTGCCTTCTTATTGACTCTGTAGTGTCTCCTAACTTGGCGTCTTTCTCGTTGGGTGTTTGGTGCCTGTGTTTCCATAGTCGAATCTATTCCTTTTAGTCCGTGAGGGACAAACCGCGGTCCTTGTCTTTCACCAAGACTGTGAATTCCGCTGGAGGTCATTCGTACTTTTCCTCAGGTCTTTTCTGTGGGGTTCTTTTGTGTGTGTTGTCATTCGTTCTTTCGGGGCATCACTCCCAGGGTGATCCTTGATCTTAACCTCTTCCATACCTTTCCTTCTGTACTCTTCTGGTCCTAGGTGTCCGAGCGTAAGGTGTTCTGCGGTCCGCAGTATTCATAGCAGTGTCGGCCTTTTTTCCTGCTATACCAGTTATGACCCTCGTGGCGCCCCTGTTCGTCACTTCTTGCTGTTTTATTCGTACCCGGGTCTCGTGGTGGGTTGTCTTTTCTGGATTTGTCTCTTAAGTTTCTGGATATGGGCATCGCTTCTTATAGCGGTGGATCCGTCTTCCGGTATTCTCATAGGTCGCGACTCCTAACTGATATCTCACGTGATCCTGATTCGTCATACTTGTTTCTTGATGCTTTGTTGGTTTGTTGCTGGGATGGTATGTTCTCTTCATCCATTGGTTCTGTCGTTGGGAT